GTGTGTGTGTGTGTGTGTGTGTGTGTGTGTGTGTGTGTGTGTGTGTGTGTGTGTGTTTGTGTCAATGTGTTTGTGTCTGTTAAAGAGGCAATAAAAGTGGTTTCAAATAATCCTCTTCAACTTGATTTAAAAAACATGAACTTTATTCGCCCGTAAAAGATAAGAAACTGGTTAATTTGATATTATATCACAGACGTATATACTTTTCCAAGCCTTTGGAACAGCAACCGCTCACTCTCTAAAGCAGAATTAATTTCCCCATACCGTTCAGTTATGATTCATGTTCTCCTGGGTATTAAAATATTAAACAAAGAGCTATCGGTGGTGCACCTCGGTCTAGAAGCGAATAAAAAAATATTGATAACTTTATTGTGATTCTAAGGAACACCAGCCAAATTATACAGCCTACAAACTTGATGGCTGGGAGATTGACCAATTTTGGTACACAGGCGTAGTGGTGCAGCAGCAAGGCTCTTCACCGTAGCACCCAGAAGGTGTAAATTCAATTCGCAATTGTGGGAGCTGGGTGTGTGTGTGTTGGGGGTGGGGGTGGGGGTATTTATACTTTCCTGGATTTTCTTAAATCGAGTATCAACTTCTGTCTGCTGGGATGCTGTATCTCGCTCATTTCGTGTTGGTTCTGACAAGTTACCGGCATCCTAAATGATCCAAGTTGTGTTGATGGAATACTTTTACTTTTACTTGTACTTTTATCATTTTGGGTGTCGCGGAAAGAAAAAGACGTCTCTCTGTCGCCAGCTGGAGAGCTTGGGTGAGGGGGGTGCCGTGGGTGGTTAATGTTTCCCTGACTCCATCTATCCAGGTCTTTCTCGGTCGCCCTCTCGCTTTGTTACCGTCGAATTTTTTAAAAAATGTAGGCAGGTTGATGGAATGGGAGTGTAAAAGACTTTCAATAACAACAGTTAACTCGAAGTATACGGCGGGCCAGTTCAGCTGGCTCGCAACATCACCCGGTTGTTTACATTCATTACAAAACTCTACCAAACCTCAACAAATTCATCTATCTATAATCAAGTTGTATGTTTACTGCTTGGATTATTCATTCTAACTCAGTTTGGGGTTTATTTAATGCAAATAGGCTAGATAAGAGCGAGTCTATAAATATGGAAGTTTGTCATACAGAAAATTTGGAAAAGAAAATTGGCTGGGTACAAGGGAGGAATAGCCATAAGTAAACTAAGTACTGGGAAGATGCGGGATAAAGGGATCTATTTTATATCTTGAATCTTATATAAAAAAAGGACTTGTATGAGGTATAAAGGGATTTTTTAAATATCTTGAATCTTATATATAGCACTTGTTTTCTGCTACAGTATACTTCTTTCTTCTGCCACTCTGTACCGACTGTGCAAAACGAAGCCAACCTCTACTAGAGAGAACCAATGAACCCAGTATTAGAAGTACGTGCAAACAATTTGTAGAGCTATTTAAAAAATGATGCGATAAGGGTGAAAAAAACAGTAATGTTTATATGCAGGCAGTACAGGTTGTGGGGTTTTTTTTAAATTGGGGAAACGAGGAGAAACCAGGAGACAAGGGCGACCATGGGTATATCAAAAGCTTAAAGGCAAGTAGCAGGACCCTAGTCCAAGATAATGTTTCAGTTCGCTTGTCATAAACGGCAGTTCTTCACGCCACGGTGGTGTGTTATTTAAATGAGGCTCTTGAGAATAGAGATCGTGTCCCAATTTCTGATTGACTACATTATACATTGTATTTGAGGGTGCGTTGGCGGAGCGGTTAGTGCGCTCGTCTCCGAAGCGGAAAGTCCGGGTTCGAGCCTCGGTACGGACACGGATTTTCTTAGCCCCCTCCTGCCCACCCAGCAGTAATGGGTGCCTGACTTCGAGTTACGGAAGTAAAGGCGGCATGGAAAGGAACTGGCCACTCTACCACCATATGTCGAAGGCCCAGGAAGTTGTCTCACTAACAAGGCAATCCTCAATGTCTGGATCGGATGAGGGAACAACTTTACTTTACACTGTATTTGCGACTCGACACGGTGGAATCAGGCACTTTTATCTTTAAGCCTAATCATTTGCCTTGTTTTTAATGGAAAAACAGTACCATGTGTCTTGAATAAATGTCGAGATATTTGGAACTGAAGGAGGTGAGGATTGCTTGATGTCAGAGGTAACAAGAAAATGGCCGCCAAAGTTTGGTGACTTCCATAGCTGTACTATGTCCTTGGAAACTGCAAATCTACTCGCACATCTTTTGTGTCTTTGATAAACATTTAATGCAACATTCACACAGGAGTGTGTTTTAAATATAAGATTCACAAAAGGCGTTGGGGCCCAACAAGAAAATCGATAAAAATTGCGCTACGGGCAGAGAAATGTTCATGTCGGCTTCCTAGTTTCCTAGACCTCATTACTTTGATGAGCGATTGATTTTACCACGATGCCTAGTCACATGATATTATGGCAGCACGGCACGCTGTAGATTCGCGACAAGTGGAAGGGAGATGGTGGATAGGGCACGTGGTGGGCAGAAACATATATTCCTGGTCGGCTAAGAAACATTCTATCCTCCCAACAGATTCTGATTCATAATTCTTTGAGTTGACAACGTTGGTAAACAACTGCGCTTCTATGTAAATACAACGCGCGCGCACGCACACAAAAACACATACTCGATCATAATTTATACTAATGCATACATAGCTAAACATAAACACAGCTGCGTATTCACAGATCCACGAAATCGTCCAAACGCACACGCCCGCGCGCACACACACACACACACACACACACACACACACACACACA